CCTGAGCATCAGCAGCTGAGCCAGAGAGAGCACAGTAGATGCGCTGGTGCAGGGGGGACAGCTTGTCAAACACCCGGTTCACCACCGCCTCTCTGTCAGGAAGGAGTCAAAAGTCATCAACGTTAGAGATGCCAATTTTTTACGAAATTTTATTGAAGTGTAGTTGATTTGCAATGTCGTGTTAATTTCTGCTGTACAGCAAAGTGATTCAGTTATACATATACATATTTTCATATTCTTTTTCATTATGGTTTATCGCAGGATATTGAATATAGTTCCCTGTGCTATATAGTAGGACCTTGTTGTTTATCCATCCTATATATACTAGTTTGCATCTGCTAACCCCAAACTCTCAATCCATCCCTTCCCCACCCCCCTGCCCCTTGGCAACCACAAGTCTGTTCTCTACGTCTGTGAGTCTGTTTGGTAGATATGTTCATTTGTGTCATACTTTAGATACCACATATAAGTGATATATTTTGGTATTTGTCTTTCTCTTTTTGACTATGCTTAATCTCTAGGTCCATCCACGTTGCTGCAAATTCTCTGTCTGACATTTCATTTAGCATGATGCTCTCAAGGTCCATTCATGTTGTTGCAAATGGCAAGATTTCCTTCTTTTCTTATGGCTGAATAGCATTCTATTGTATATATACACCATATTTTCTTTTTTTAAAAAAATTTTTATTGGTGTATAGTTGATTTACAATGTTGTGTTAGTTTCAGGTGTACAGCAAAGTGAATCAGTTACATATATACATATATTCACTCTTTTTTTTTTTTGTATAAAGACAACCCTCAGAATGGGAGAACATATTTGCAAATGAAGCAACTGACAAGGGATTAATCTCCAAACTATAATGGCTCACACAGCTCAATATCAAAAAACCAAATAACCCAATCAAAAAATGGGCAGAAGATCTAAACAGACATTTCTCCAAATAAGACATACAGATGGCCAAAAAGCCCATGAAAAGATGCTCAACATCACTAATTATTAGAGAAATGCAAATCAAAACTACAATGAGGTATCACCTCACACTGGTCAGAATGGCCATCAACAAAAAAATCTACAAACAATAAATGCTGGAGAGGGTGTGGAGAAAAGGGAACTCTCTTACATTGTTGGTGGGAATCTAAATTGGTACAGCCACTATGGAGAACAGTATGTAGGTTCCTTAAAAAACTAAAGATAGAACTACCATATGATCCAGCAATCCCACTCCTGGGCATATACCTGGAGGAAAACATAATTCAAAAAGAGACATGTACCACAATGTTCATAGTGTACCACGTCCTCCTTACCCGTTCCTCTGTCGATGGACATTTAGGTTGCTTCCATGTCTTGGCTGTTGTAAATAGTGCTGCTATGAACATAGGGGTGCATGTATCTTTTCGAATTATAATTTTGTCTGGATATATGCCCAGGAGTGGGATTGCTGGATCATATAGAGAGTTGCCAAAATTTCTGATGTTCATCTTTCGGTGTTTCTCAAATTTATTTCACAAGAGAATGGCTTCAGAGTACATGAAATTTAATGCTTGGATTAAAGCAGGAAGCAAAGAATTGTCTCAAACAAACGAAACACTGCAAGTAATGATCAAAATTAGATTTATTTTCAGGCTTAGATTTTTTTTTTTTTGCAGTACGTGGGCCTCTCACTGCTGCGGCCTCTCCCGCTGTGGAGCAACAGGCTCCGGACGTGCAGGCTCAGCGGCCATGGCTCATGGGCCCAGCCGCTCTGCGGCATGTGGGATCTTCCCGGACCGGGGCACGAACCTGCGTCCCCTGCGTCGGCAGGCGGGCTCTCAACTACTGCGCCACCAGGGAAGCCCCTCAGGCTTAGATTTTTATAGTAAAACAAAAAATACTAAATTAAGCTAAGAATAATCTTCGCCTTATTAATTTTTCTTTGTTATTAACCATATTGAGGAAGTTATGTGTTCTATGGAACATAAAGTAAGTAATATTGATCTAATCCTGTATACTTATCTTGTATGTGAGGAAACTGGCCAGAATGGAGAAAGACAAACTTAGTTCAACATGTGATGGATCAGAAACCAGAATATCTGCTTGGCAGGACCATCTTTTCTATCTCTAAACATAGATGGAAGGTGGGCCCCTGAAATCTCCATCTCCTAAACACTTTTCAGACCCAATTCCATGACTCCCTGGGACGGGCCACATTAGCATCCAGGCCCCAGATTCTTCTCCACGAATTCAGAGACCCAAATACCCACCCAATATCTTATCATAGTGGCCTTTCTGAAAGGTTCACTCAGTTTCTCCAATGCTTCAGTTTGCCAGTCTCTTTATGAATGGTTAAGAAAAATGTGCACTGGGGGCCATTAGCTTCCTTCCAAAAGTACACACCGGCACTGCTACTCACCCTGCAGACACCCGGGAATCAGATCCCACCACGACGCCCCCATCAAACTCTACCGCCATGATGGTTGTCTGCAGAGACACAGAGGATGGAACGTCAGAGCAGCAAGAGCCTTGATCCCTTCATGTTACAGATGAGGAAACATTCAGAATGGGGAGGCGACTGGCTCAAGGTTATACAGTAATTTAGGCCAGAGCTGACTCCCGGAATGGGATTTTTTTCTTTATCTTTCCATTTTCTCTCTTGTCTCTCCCAGCAGCAAGGGAATGTCAGAGCCTGGCAGTGGTATCACACAGAAAGAATGGCATCCCTAGAATCCTTCCACTGTCAAGAGAGAGAGGTTGGATGAGGCTCTTAGGGGCATAAGTGTTCCCTTTGAGTGAAGGGCTCAGGGCGGGCACTTCCAAGTCCCGGTGACGCAGTTCCACAAATGAATTACCTCCGCATGCGTTTGTTGTGTGTACAGATGTGCTACAGACCTCCCCACGCAGCGAGTGACCGTGACCTTGGGAGACAAGCTCAAGCCCTTTTTTTGGGCCCACAATCATCCACCCCACCCCACCCTTAATCAGAAGTGAGCTCTTTCAGTTTACTGAACAACAGAAAACATCTCAGGGGTCAGTGGTTAGCATGGCCACGTGTCAAGGAAGGAGGAAAGCAGCAACAAACACATGGGACAGTTTAAAATAGAGGTCTCATTTAAGGATTTCTTATCAAGAGGTAAACAGCCAGGGGAAGAGAGTAGCCAGGGAAAGA